CACCATGCTGTGGCGGTGACGTGAAGGAGCACAAACCACACGAGTACGCTGCTGAGCTGGACCCCGAGCAAGCCTACAGGCGCAGCCTGCCATGAGGCTGTGCACCCAGGGCCTTCATCCCAGTGCCGGGCACTCAGGCCATCTCCAAGCTGTGCATTTGTGAGCTGTAATTACACATGAAGTGTTTGTTGTTTTTTTTATCATCTGCAAGCTGCTTGTTCATGCATTCCAGTATAATTTCAAGGGACATTAAGTATAGAGGTAACCCAAGAAATAAAATCCACAGATTTTCTTATGGCAGTATTATTTAAATTTTGCAGTTATCTCTAGGAATGGACAATCACCTTTGGAAGTCATAGACACTCTCAGGGAAGCATTCAGAATGGATTTTCCCACTAGCTTTATGCCAAGCATCATCTGGGGTTACCAGCATCAAGGGTGGTGTGACAGACTCAGAAACACATCCTTGGTCTCTTCGCCCTGGTTCCTGGGCCAGAGATCCTAAAACCCTCGCGACGTCCTGCCTGATGGGAGTGCTCAGAGTACGTTCTGTTCTAACAGTTGGTCTCTGACCGTGGTTCCTGACGCAGAGTTCCTGAAAGCCCTGTGATTTCCTGGGGGATAAGGGCGTCCTTTGTGCTAAGGCAGCGGCTCTTGATGGATGGTTTCAGAATGGAAACTGGGCCCCAGAAAGGCCAAGCCTTGATAAGCAGCTGCTTCCCTGGGTTCTGTGAGCCCTCACAGCCAGTTATTGAGCTAAAGGAGAAGCTCATGGGCCCTGACTCATAGCCAAGGACAGAAGAGGGGTCACCAGAGGCTCCAGCTGACACTGGAAGTGGGGGTAGTTTTGTGGGACTAAGCCCTTGAGGTAGTCCTAACTCATGTTCTGAGAGTTGGAGTCTTGTTTTGGTTCTAGAAAAATCACCCCTATGCATTTGGTGTCAAAAGTGACTTCCCATTCTGACCTTGAAGGAAGGCTACTCTGCTTCTCTGTCCCAGCAGATCTCTAAGGACAGCCAGGACAGCCAGCACCCCCACATGCCCACTGTGTGCCAGGCACTGTAGCTATCCAAGGCAGGGACGGTCCAGCCATGGCCCAGTGGTCTGGAGTTACAAAGCCACGCCGTCACCTCCTGCTGGGCAGGTGTCTCTCCAGGACTGCTTGTGCAATGGATGTCTTGGAGACCTGAAGAGGAACTGTATCCACACCATCACGCCCTCTCCTCAGCCAGGCTGTGGAGGTGGGGAAGGCTTACTGATAATACTCTTACTTCTTCTCCTCAGTTTGACAAGCTGACAAAATCTATTCTCAGCCTGAGCTGTTCCCCCAATAAGTCAGTAACTCCTTTTTTTTAATGGACTGTGCATATAGGCCAGCGGATATACCCAGCACCCAGTTTTCTGGTTTTTACTCAAGTAATTATGCCAGGTTAGAAAGAGGGAAATGATGATCCTCCTGTCCCTTCTCCTTTCTTCTAGGCCAGCAGATGTGACCACAAGTCCCTCTAGGAGAAGAGGATTGCCTCTGGGATGGTCCCATCTCTGGCTTTGGAGGCTCTTGCTTAGTGGACTGTGGGTGGTGGCAGGCTTGCTGGGGCACCGCGCTCACATGTCTGGTCTGCGAGGCTCGTGTTTATTGGCATAGCACTAGGCCCGCACTTGGATGAAATTCAGTAAAATAACCTGATCTAAGCCAGAGCCAGCAGCTAGAGTTTCTCACAGGCTTACCTGCCTGGCAGGACCAGCAAGAGCTCCAGACCTAGACGCTTGAACACTCCGGCCTTTGCTATGTACTTTGCATTTCTCTCATAATAGCCTTCCAGGGAATTCGACATTGTGCTTTGGGTCAGACACATTGTATTACCAGCGATCCTCCCAAGTTGGCCTGGCACAGTATTGTCCAACCTGTCTTTACAGATGAGGCCGCCCAGACACAAAGCTAATAGTTTGCCGAAGTGAGAGAAGATCTTCTAAGGTCACAGGCTTTTATGGGGCTCAACTGACCCTGGGACCTGGATCTGGGTCTAAAGCCCTACTTCCCCTATATCAGATAGCTTCTTTTATGTATGATGAGCACGACATCTCTAAGTTATTTCTCAGGCATATATATATATATGATCATACATATATATATATATATATATATGATCATTCCATATTACAAATGGGTACTGATAAAAAGAAAGATTAAAAGAAAAAAGAAAGTGAAGGTAGGCGTGGGGAACCTTTTGCAGACCACGAAAAATTGTATTTCATATTTTAGTCCTCTGTGCCTGCGGTGCATATGGTAGCATGTATGCAAATAGGAGGAAACCTAGTTTCCTCCCACCAGAGCCCACCACAGAGAGCAGTGGTGGTGAACCTAGGACACACAGGCTGCAACAGAATGTTTGCTGTCCTCGAAAGCTCTAAGAGGCTCGCGGCACTATCCTGGATGCTTCACCACCTCCCAGCAGTGCCTCTCTAGGAGTGAGCCTTTGCTATATGGGCCTCTGGGGACAGCAAAGATCAAAGCTGGCAACTTCCTCTTCACCGCATCCCCTTCTCCTGGCTTCCTCTGTCTCCCAGGTCAGCTCAAATCCTGGCTCTTGCCTGATGCCTCCCCCACAGGCTCACCTCAACACAAGAGCTCTGGGGCAAGCGGACATTCTGATTACATGCTGCTCATCTGACACTTAAGCAGGGCAAGTGTCTTTACTTTTCTCTAACTGTGTCTTAAGTGTGTTTTCTACGATTTTAACTATCACACACGGGTTGAGGGTCACACCTTTTTATCTCTTTGTCATGAAGATGGTACTGTACATGTAGAAGTTGCTCAATCATACTCGATCAAGCAATTAACAGTAAAAAATAAATGAATTTAGAATTTTCATGAAGATTAGAGTGGCATAATAATTGACATTTAAGACATACTTTAAGGTTTATAAAATGCCCCATCATGCAGCTCCATCTGTGCCTCTTAGTAACCCAAAGAGGAAATGGGTTCAGAGAGGTTAACCGACTGGTGAAGATCCTCTCTCTAAAGCTTGTTGACTCTGAGGGATAAACCCAGGACGATAGCTGGATGTTGCGCCTTCCTGTAACACATCCTCACCAGCAGGGGGCGCAAGAACACGCGTGAGTTTTGGAGTCAAACTGACCCAGCCACAGCGAGATAGGAGACCTGGGCAAATCACTCAAATTTTCTGAGGCTTGTCTTTGAAATATTAATGCTGACGTCCTCGCCATCATCTCCATGAGGTAGTCAGAAGCGTTAGCAATACTCTGGCTGGTATACGGTAAGTGAAGAATCAATCTTAATTCTTGTGAACTCCCATAAGATGACAGAAACATGGAGTTTAATAGATATTGATTCTGGTTTAAGGCTTCAGTAAATGTTTGAAATTAGTTTCTATACTTGGCACTTAAAATAGGCAAAGAGTTATATCAAGTAGGCAAATAAAAGGATATTGACCAAAAAAAAAGATGTTAATATCCAGCAAATGTAAGAAAGCCAAGTGGAAAAAAATCTTTCTCCATAGAAAGCCTTAAAATTATGATAAGCCATGGATTTTTCTCTCTCTCTCTTTTTTAAAAGACAACCGACGCTGAGGCAGAAGGATTGCAAGCTCGAGCCCAGTTCTGGGCAACTTGGTCACTTACTGAGACTTCATCTTAAAATAAGAAACAAAAATGAGGGTAAGGGTAGAGCTTAGCACAAAGGCCCAGGGTTCCATCCAGAACTAAAACCCAAAGCCACAAGACAGAAATCAAAATAGGAAGGCAATGCAGAAGGAAATCTCCTGATGCTCTTGCTTCTCTACTTTTCTTCAAATGTATCACTTTTATAATTAACGTTTTGTAAATAACATTATCACTTATGTACTAAAAGTCTTTTTGTTTTGGAGTAGCAGAGAAAGAGCCTTCATTTAACACTGCCAGGCTGCGTGTCTAGGCCAGTGGTCATGTAAATTAAGTCACTTCTAAAAGCCTGAACTGCAAGTTCAACAAAATAATGAAAATCCTGGTGAAATTTCCGGGACGTGGTCACCAAACTTTGCCTTAGCTGCTGCAGCAAGGCTGTGGAGCAAATAAACACCGGCCGCCATTTTTCCAAAAGGTCTAAAAAGGGCACAAAAATAAAGACATGAACAATTGTTCCTGCAAAGGGCCACTAGAGCTGTTTGTTCTGAGCATGTGTAATCTGAAACCCACCCTATCTCCTCCTGGGGTTGGCTGCGCAGCTAAGGACAGCATGTATTGCTCTCCTTTACTTAATTTTCTTTCCTGAAGTCCAAAGGGAGTGGAATTTCAATGTAGAGTTACCCATTAGTTCCAGGGCTAAATTTAAACCTTTAATTAAATTAATTCCTTGGTCTTACACACATTGCTTCTCCCTCTGAAAAGTGTCCTGGAGGTTTCTTAAGTGTCACAGTGAATTCAGCGCGACAGTTGTTCCTTCTGCACTTGCTAAGCCCCACAGCCCAACTCAGATGGGCACTTGGTAGGGGTGGGCTGTGACTTCCCAGATTCTGAACCTCTATTCTGGAAGGGTCACTGTGTCCTGCGGCAGGAGCCCATCTTTCTAGAACACTCGGCAGATGCCAAATGTATGTTTATCAAATAAATGACAGAGAGAAACTGTCCAGATTGATCCCAGTTTATGAGGGGGCATGTACCCACAAAAATTGGCAAGGCGACAAGGGAGAAGAAGTCCACCTCTGTCTTCAGAGAAATTGAACACACGTCGGGCCGAAATAATTTACGTTGGCCTTTGCTTTGAGATGCAAAGTACCAGCACCATGAAATGGGAGTGTGGAAATCACGGCGGCCACAAGCAGATGTTCACACACACCTGGGCTTCCGTGCACCCCAGCGCGTGCCGGTGCCTGGGGAAGGGGGCTGGGGGTGGGGCGCCCCTCGGCCTGCAACGGAGTCACACCTCGTGCTCAGGGCGCTTTCAGGTGCTGTGTCTGCGGTGACATCCGTGAGGAACTACTCATCGGCCCATGCCAGCGCGGATGTCGTTCACGCGCTCGCTGTTCACAGCTCTGCATCTCTCTGGGACGCTGCCCAGCGGACCCCTAACTTTCCGCGGGGCAGGGCCCACGCCGAGACTCCTGGGGCTCTGCCGGCACCCCCAACTCTCGGAACCCGTGCGCCGGGGTGACGTGCTCGCCTCCCGCGCTGCACCCGGCTTCCGCGCGCTGCGGAAGCCCAATTCCCGGCCGGCGGGCGGCAGGAGCGACCCCGGCCGACTCCCCGCGGGGCTCGGCTCTGCTTCCTCCTCCTCCTCTTCCTCCTCCTCCAGCCCACGCCTACCGCCCCGCCCGCGCGGCCGCCGCCTGCGGCTTTGTTTTCCTCCCAGGTTTCACGGCCCACACGTGATACTGTGTTATTGCTCGGAGCGCGAGCGCGGGGCGCGTGCACCTACAAATAGAGACGCCCGCCCGGCGGCCGGGAGCCCGTGCAGCAGCCGCCCGAGCCCCAGCCCGAGCA